CCTCGCGTACAGTATCTCTCAAACTGTATATATATATATATATATATATATATATATATATATATATATATATATATATATATATATATATATAAAAAAATATATATATATTTTTTTTGACGCGAATGCTTGTTATATTTACTTCTACCTCCTCTCTGGAAACTCTCAGAATGCTATGTGGGTGGCGTGTGACCTCAGTGTATTTGGATCCATAAACATCCTCGATGACTCAGAGCTAGTTGTACCTGACAGTCAACGCGCAGGGTAAAATACCTACACGTTCTCCAGCTAACAACACTCCGAATCGGCAGATTTCTTCAGTCAACCTTCAGCGCACTCGGAATAAGTTACAAAACAGGACAAAATGGCTCTCCGGAGATACTTAGATCGTTGATTTAGGCCGGTGTTTATATTAGCTTAAAATAACTTCTTAATTTGCCCTGCCGACAGTTTGCTACTTTAGCTTACCAAGCTAATTAGCTAGGTCTTAGCTGTCTGCTTTAGCCAGCTGTTCTAAATAAACTGTGAAGGGCAGTTTCTTAGTGACAGCTTAGCTGTTTCTTTCCTGGTATCAAAGCTAAAAGAGAAGAAAAGGTAAGATGTGGTTTGTGACTATAACTGCGCCTGGTTATATGTAAAAGTCTTTTGCATTTGACGTTAACGTTTAACGTTAGCCTAATATAACTGTCAAACGTTTTGTTTATGTCCCTGGGTGATTCCGTGTACGCTGAGGTGTGTTTTTATAATGCACAGCTTTATTTATTTAAACGGTTTTTCCACATTATTTTGTGGCATGAGAGTTGATTTCAGCCCAACAGAGGCACTTTGAGTGATGAGGTCATGTTTTTTTCCGCTCATGTTCACCTGTAAGCAGGTTAAACTGCTCACACGGAAGGGAAGTTTGGCATTTTTCCAAAGATCCTAACAATCTGAAACAGGCTCGCTTGATAGTTTTCTCCCACTAAAGGACAATTCTGTCAGATTTAAAATGAAAGTGAAAGTAAGACTCGGCCACCTTCATCTGCAGAAAACGTGCTCAACCTCAGAAACCTTTGAATAATGAATAGTTGTTGAGTGAGAGAACATATATTTTCCCTCAAAGGCTATATTAATCGGGTTTTTTTTTGTTTGTTGCACATTTATGGTAAATTGAAAAAACAAAAAACATCAGTCAGATTAAATGGGACGCTTCAGTGAACACAAATCTTCCATTGTTGCTGCGGATTCTCTAATAACATGTACTCTGGGATGTTCTAACTCACATCCTTTGATCTCCCACCTGTAGTTCCTCAACTAGAGGTGGAAATTTATCGTATTGACTATCATTTATCGTGAACAACTTCTTATCACGATAAGAATTTTGATTTATTGTTGTCATGATGAATTTCAAATAAAATTTTAAATAAAAAATGAAATTATATGTATGCTCAAAAATGTTACTTTTGCTGTTTTCTCTGTAGTTTGTTTCATGAGACCATCAATAAATATCAGTGGTTTCAAAAACGTGATTATTAAATGCAGCGTCTTGCAGTCACAGCCAAACAATTACCTATAAAATGAGTAATAGTTTTTTCTATCATAATCTTTGTTACCACAATAGTACTACAAAATACCACACTAAAATCCTAAGTCCATGTCACCCACCCTTATCCCCAGCCCTTGTCTTGCATGTTTTAGATGTTTCCCCACTTCAGCACAACTGATTGGGTGATTGCATAATCTCTTCAGTTTGCTTCAAATTGCTACAGAATTAATCACCCATTCATTTAAGCCAGGTATGCAGCAGCCTCTCTTCTGATTGGAGCAGCTTCTCCTCCTATTTACAAGTGGCTCTTGGAACTGATCCAGGTTATGGTTCAGTGACTCGTATCCCAGGGATGCTTAATAATTTCATTCAAAGGCAACCGATCGATGCCTTTCATAATGTTGTGAACCATTTGACTCTGAAGGGTCAGAGTGCATTTTATATGAGGGCATCTGAGTAAAAGGAGGGTGAATACCTGCTCCAAAAACAAGATCAGATTTTTGTTTGTTAAAACAATGTGAAGACCTTTTTCTTCCACTTTACAATTTTGCACTACTTTATTACTGATCTATCGCAATCTATGCAAAATGTGAGAAACTTTCCAGGAGTGTACTCTTTATAGCTGTTGGACGGTGTACGTGTTTCTCTAAATCTTACATACACAGAGTCTGCACTGAAAGTGAGTGAAGGCTCTTATAAGCAAATGAATTGAGGTGTTTGCACTGTGCCTTACCTGCACTTCTTCCACTGCAGTAATACTTTCCTAAGTTGTGGATATTTATCGGCCTGTCTTTTGCCTCTGCCTCTGTAGAGATGGTGCAGCCACAGCCGGACGGCCCCATGCAGTGGGACATGTCTGGAGAGGACAGCGGAGGGACCCTCAGGGTCCCACCAGAGCTCGCTGGCAATGAAGTGGTGACCAGACTGTTGGGCGACAACCAGCAGCTCCGAGGTATTGACTTACAAAAAAATAAAAACGTTTTGTAAAAAAAAAAAAAAAAAAACCTGATGATGAAAAAAACAGTTTTCTGTATCCAAGATATTTCCACGATTTGTCCTGTCAGCTTCATCTTGCTCCCATCCATTCTTGTAGTTTTTATTTTTTTTGGATGTTGTTATTTTTTACAGTGTAATGCAAAGGAACAGCATTACTCTGTTCCTGTTGAGAAGTCAACAGTTGCCAAAAATTCCATATACACACAGGAAAAGTGTGAAATCTCGTCATTCAATTAAATTAAAATTCAAAATGCTGTATTTATCCCGAAAGGGAAATTAAAAGCTGCCGTAACTCCTGTCATCTAACTATCCTTCAGTCGTTGTGGATGGCGGTTCTGTGGTTGGGGAGGATCTATGGTAGAATTTGTGTTGCAACATATCTAAAGCAACTTCTGAGAGAAGACTGGTGCTGTATAACAGTCTCATGAGATGCTAACAGCTCAATTTCCACACAAGCAAAGATGATGTTCCACAGCAACATCATCAGTTGTTAGCAAGCTCTGCTAATCCAGCTCATTTGCTTTTGCTGCTTCTCTTTAAGTCTCTGGCTGTACGGTGAGAAAGTTAGAAAAGTTTGTAATTTGATAAATGCTGGACGCAGCTAAAAATAAACAGCCCAGTGACCTGAACCGGAACTGTCACAAGCTTATTACAGTTCCATATCAAACTCTTCTGATTATTAACAGTAGTAGAGTCAAAGTTGGCTTTTGTAATTGTTTGTGCTGGAAGAAGACGTAGACTGAACGTTGGTACGTGTCCGTCCTCCAGAGGCTCTGCGGAGGAGCAACCAGGCTCTGCGTCAGCGCTGCGAAGAGATGGAGGGATGGCAGCGGCGGACCAGGGAGGAGCGGGAATTCCTCAGCTGTCGTTTCCAGGAGGCCCGGGCGCTGGTGGAGAGGCTGGCGCAGGAGAACCACTCTTTGCAGAGCATGGTGAACGGACCAGGCTCGTCGTCCAACCACAGCTACAGCTCGGCCCAGATGGAGGCGTCACCGGGGCTTTCTGCCCGGAACGGCCCGCTGGATGAGCCAAAGGTGGGTGTGCTGCAGACTTGCGTCGCTGTGCCTTCATCCTCCCACCATTCAGAGAGGCTGTCACACGTAACAAGACTCTTTTTGTCCTGTAACATTAAGAGGAAGCTTCTTCTCAACTTGTTTTCTAAATGAAAAGAAATGCTGCATTCTTTAAATATGCAAGGTTTAGATTAATTTTCATCTATGGTGCCTGGAAAAGCGTTTATAGATGGTTCTTATGGTTCCCTTGGTGACTGCATATTGTTTTGTCATCAGCTGTACAGTGTTGCCAACTTGTTGTGTTTTATGAGAGATGGGTCACTTTATTGCTAACTGCTTATGTTCTTTAGTCTGACTAAATCATCGCAGTCTGGATCTTCACAATCGTAGCAATCGTCATTTTTATCTCTGTTGGAAGGTTGTTCAGCCAGTCAGATCTTAAAACTGATTTTCTCCTAACTGACGTCTCTCACTTGTCCTCAGAGATTTGAAAATCAGCCCTTGTAGTTTGGAGGATAACTCTCTAAATGTGTCCTTCATATTCGAGATCACTGTGTCATGTGCAGTTAAAACACGTTTGTGTCCTTATAACACCTGACAGCATCCGAATGCACCTTCAATGTTCCAATCTAATTTTATTCAAAAGCAATGAAACATACTGTGAAAGAATACAAACTTGTTTCAACTGCACGACTAGGCCTGTCACGATAACAAATTTTCCATTTTCATCTAATATAATAATTGTACGATGATGAAGAAAAAAAAACAATAAGTAAAAAGAAAATAAAAACCACAAACAACTGAAACAATAATTGAAAATGGATTATTGAATCTCTGCAAACAAAATTGCCTTTCAAAAAATATTAATCATCAGAATGGAAATTATTGAGCTTATTTTAATTTTTCGTGCAATTAATTGATTGCTTATATATCAGTTGCAGCAAACCAATAGACACAAGAGCTCTATTTATTTTACATTACATTTAGAATTCAGTATGAAGAATTTAGTATGTAGGTGTACTGGTGCAGAGTTATCAAAAAAATGTGTAATTCAGTACAGTTATGTCCATATTTAAAGAAAAAAGAAAGAAAGAAAGAAAGAAATGTTCAACACTGTATTTCTGTATTGGATCGGTATCAGCTGATACTGAACCCCAGATATTGATATCAGTCTGAAAAAATGAATCGGTGCATCCCTAAACTCAATCTAGAATTTTAGACACACATGCTGTAGAGTTATGAGTCTGAAGAAACTGAATTCTATTTTTTTTTTAACAAAGTTGTGTTTTTATGTTTTGTCTTTCAGACTTTAGACCAGTGGGAGAGGAAAAGAGTTGAAGAAACAGAGCAGCAGACACAAACCACACCACATCGCAGCCTGGTAGAGTGTTTCTTTTGTTTGTTCCATTTCACCTCACATGTCTCTTGTCGAAAATGTTCATATCGTTTTAAGGGAGAATCATCAAATAAAAACCTATAAATCAGTTATAACAACTCTACAACGTTTGTCTTCAAACAGTTGTCACAGAGTGCTTCACAAAAAAATAGTAATAAATCTTACAAAGATTGGAGTTTTGTGACCAATCACAGATCTTTAAATTCTTTAAAAAGACTGATCTGCTCATTCCGATTTTAATATTTTTTTCTGTCTGAAACGTCACTAAATATCGCGGCAAAGTCACCTGCTTCTATTACCATCGCATCTCTTTATCTCTCCAGCCTGCAGAGGGTGCCAATGAGTTCCTGCAACTGCTGAAGAGCCACAAAGAAAAAACAGAGGAAGAGATGAGAGAAATGAGAAGAAAAAATGAAGAGTTAAAGAGGGAACGGGATGAGGGAAAAGAAGTGTTAGAGCGACAGCATCGATGCATTGAGCACCTGCGGGCTAAACTTTTCCATACACAGGTAGCACGCTATGCTAACTTCACTTCCTGTCCGCTAACATACAAGTAGACATGAGGTCGCATGTATGAATTTCAGATACAATCCAGAACCATAGAAAATAAAATAATTCATATAAGTGGGTGATATGGACTTAGAATTTTCTCATGACATGTTGAGATGTTATTGTGATAACGATGAAAATTATGATTTAGAATAAACTGTTCATTATTTTTTAGGCAACTGTATGGCTGTAACATCATAGCACAACATTCATAGCACCACAAACAATGTTTTTGAAAAACATTCCCAGCTGGCTCAGTCTTTAGTAATCTTTTTAAGAATTGTTTTTTTTTATTTTTTCTGTTATGTTTTGTGGCCTGAAGGATTGTGTTGATGTTTTGCAGACGAGCAGTAATGAGGAAGCTGTTCAGCTTCGCTCAGAGGCTCAGCACACCTCTGACTGGTAAAACTCAGTCCCACGCACGCACGCGCACACACACACACGCACGTACACACACACAAACACACACACAGGTAGTAGATCATTTAAGCTAACGGTGCTAAACTAACTTTAAGCCAAAACCTTATCTTGGTTCTACTAAATGAACTCATGCTGTACCCTGTTATAACTGCAGGTTATTCTGCTCTTCTAATTAAAGTTCTGTCCTTCCTCCTGCTTAACCAAACCTCTTCCTCTTCCTTATCTTCTTTTGCCTTGTTTGGTTCCTTTTGCCAGCTCTAGTCTGGCTAAACTCACAGAGCAGCTTCAGGCCACACAGGGCAGGTGAGCCTACAGCTCTGTGTGGCTTTTTGTTCCCTCTGCATGTGTCACTGCTTGCCTGTCTGTCTCCAAAATCTGAACTCATTTTGTTTCCTGTGGGTTTTACAAGTAGATCAGACGTGTTGCACTGTATTATTCATCCACTTTGGGGGGTTTTTATGCCATTCCAACAAACCACAAAGGATTTTTACCATGGTAAAAAAGAAGATAATTTACTTCTAAATTATTTTCTGCATCTTTTAATTCAAAGATATTTTATTTGGAATTATTTTTTCATCGAAAAATGCCTTGATTTCAGGAAAATGAGTGTTAAATGGAATAACTAATCAGCAATTTTACTCAAGTTTGTAACTTCATTGCTCAAGAATGACTGGTTTATATCAAAAGTTATGCCTACAATAATGCATTTACCATAATTCTAATGTTAGTGCATTTCTGCTTTAGGTATCGGGAGCTGGAGGAGAAACTGGATTACCTGCAAAAGAGCTCCGCTCAACGGGACAGGACAGAAGCTTTGCTCAAACAAAAGGACAAGGATTGTGCCCAGGTCTGCTATAAGGCTTTGCTAATGTTTTAGTAAAACCTTAGATTTATATTTGGTCCTTTAATCTAAAGATTGCCAACTACAGCAGTTGGTAATCTTACAATACCCAGTATACAACTATCTGGAACAGCAGGGGATGGAAAAACAACTCCACCCGTCTCATCGTTCTGCTCTGTGTGGTGAAGAGTGTCCCTCATTTCCTGGAGACAATAAAGTCTCATAGATTCATGTAAACCCACAACATAACCACTTCAAAATTATCACTACCAATGCTGTCTGAGGCATCCTTTCTGTCTGGTGACCTTCACTCAGTGTTTACCTGACTGTCAGAAGCAGCAGCAACTGTTTCTAACACTGTTTCTTCACTCATGACTAGAAATTTTGGGAGATCAGCCAATACTTACTTGTGAATCTTATCTCCACAAAGGTCTGAAAATCATTCCTTGTCCCCTTTTTGATCTGTCGTAAGAGAGGGCTGACTGGCCCACCAAGTGCCGTTAACAATAGACACCCCAGTTTTGTCAACTTGGCAACTTTTCAGACCAAAAAAAATCTGTATTGGTCAAACTCGGAATTGGCAGGTTAGGGTTACATCTCCTCTGCCTGTTATTCATCAGTTCCTGGTCTGAAAAGTCGTTAGCCACATGTCTTTAAATTTTGTTTTGGCAGGGCTATTTAAGCTTGTATATTCTATGTAGCTTTCTTTTGTCATGGGACTTTACTGTTACGCAAAACTTGGAGTCATGTGCAGACATCTTTTATTATTGTATTATTTGACTCAAGGCGGTTGCAGCTACTGGTAATAACCGCTTAAGCTAGCTTCTTCCTTAAGTGCAAATCTATTGGCAGTTGGCTGAATGATGTTCGTTTTAAGCGTTGACTCACTTCTGTTGTCAACCCATACAATTGATTTGCAATTTACTTTTGTACTTTTCTTTCGTGATACAGGTCTTAAATTTCATCCATACTGGTCTTAAAAAATCTTACATTTGAGTTGATGAAACCTGCAGAAACCCTCTAATCACTTCTTAGTCAAATTATTTCCACAACTAAATGTTTGTTTAGCAAATTACATCCAAAATACTCAATTCCTTCTTGCCTGCCTTTATCTGCGAGTGCATATTTAAAGCTTATTTTCTTCTATTTGCATTCCACCAGTTGGCCAAGGACTGTGAGGCTCTGAAAGCTCAGGCGACGTCGCTGCTAGGCGAACTGAACGAGAGGCAGATCCTCCTGCAGAAGAGCGACGATGAGCGCAAAATGCTGGAGGAGAAGTGAGTCGTCCCGTCGTACCGGCGAGGTTGTGCCCAGTCCGTTTGTCACGAGCCGTTTGTCGTTTCTGCGTTTAGGCTGGTCAGCAAGGTGAAGGCCCTGCAGGCGGCGGAGCGGGAGCTGGAGCAGCAGAGGAAGCAGCATCATGTGACCAACGACAAGCTGCTGCTGCAGGTGCAGAGCCTGGAGAGCGCGCTGAAGTCGGAGAGGCACGTGGTCACAGAGGAGAAGTGGGTTCAGCACACCGTTCCACATGATGAAAATACTTTTGGAAAGACAGTGTGTTTTAAAATCCCCTTTTGTTCTGCTCTTATCAGAAAAAAGCTGTCACAGTTGCAGCATGCCTACACATGTCTGTTCAGAGACTATGATTCCAAACTGAAGAGTGAGGTAAAAACACACTCAGACGTCTTCACCCTCACTAGCTTAGCTGTTCTGACGTCGGGCTCTGCATATCGCTGCAGGGAGGAGACCTTAGCAGCAAGCTAGAGGAGGCAGAGCGGGCGCTGGCCATCAAGCAGGACCTGATCGATAAACTCAAGGAGGAGGTGGAGCAGCAGAAAGGCTCGCTGGAAACCGTCCCTGTCCTCACAGCACAGGTAAAGTCCAAACCGCTGCTCATGTCTTTGTAGTCGGTGGATTTCTGGCAATATCTGCCGATTTTAATCACGGCTCTCTCTCTGCTACACTTCCAACATTTCAGCAGTTGGTCTGTTGCTCTACTAGAGGAAACATAACATTGGATTTGTTTTATGCAAATGTTTGTATTTGTATTCTTCAACATTTGTAACAAGCTACACCAGCAACTGTAGGATTGTCAGAAAAGATGAGGAGAGAGATGCTTTTCAAAGGCCATCCTTTAAAAAAAAAAAAATCATCAAGCCACATGAATCGGCAAGGAAGTGGAGATTCTCTAAATGAGAAGATCAAAGTTCAAAGGTTCTTTCACGCTGTACCAGTTGGGAAAAATGTTCAATTAAAAAAAAAAAAAAGTTATAATGCATTTACCATCTTAAAAATGTAAACAGATTTTTATTTTTTTTTGTAAAGTATAAACGCAGCACCTTGTTCCCTGTTTGCGTTTGTGCCAGGCTGAGATCTACAAGGCAGATTTCCTGGCAGAGCGAGAAGCAAGAGAGAAGCTGAACCAGAAGAAGGAGGAGCTGCAGGAACAGTTCACTCAGGCTCTGGCTGAGATCGATCGGTTGAAGCATGAGCTCACAGCACGGTAACCACACATTCATCAGGATCCGTGTTAATATTAATGTGCTGTATATTTGGACATGCTTCTCATGGAGAATGGAAATCTGTGGTGGTCACAACTCTGAGCATAGCTGCTTATCAAATGCTACTTCAACTGCAGGTGTTGTCAAACAAGCGAGGTTTTTTTGGTTCCGTCTGAAGCTGAAACCTCACGTGGAAAATCACCTCGGTCTGGATCTGCACAGAACCCAGCTTTGACTTGGATGAAATTATTTCATCCAAGATGAAATAATTTCTACCTCAATAGTTCAGAATCTCAGTTTAAAAATGTTTTGAAAGAGTCAAACTTAGATTTCTGTCTGTCTGGGAATTAAATCTAAGTGGATCTGCACTGTAAATGAAGAATCTTCAATTTAATTCAGTTTTGATTCTAAATACTTTAATAACCCCAAAGGGAAATAATATACTGTAACTCGTACTGTAAATGTTTACCTAGTCGTTGTTAGGAATAGTCTCCATAAGTTGCTGACTGAAGACACTCAGTTGAAGATTGCTCAAGGTTGTCAATTATGATCTTCAATTCATGGACAGCATCATTTGTTTTTCATCTTCAGTTGTAATAAAGCTGTATGAGTTCTATAGGTTCTTACACTTCTTTACCTGGGGATCAACAAACGCGTCCATATTTGTAGTTACCTACATATGTGCCAAAAATTCAAAGTAAAATGGGAGTCCCCCATTGTTGTCAAAACCAGATGTTTTTTTTAGTATGCAGCAAAAATAAATTGATCTTTTTTCATTATTATTTATTTAAGGGTCTAACTAGTCACCTCTGTTTCAGTGCACGTTTGGAGCAAATGAAGCTGAAACACATGGATGATTTTCCTGCACGGCCCACTCACATTCCCCCTCAGCAAGGTACAATACATCCAACACACACACACACACGCACAGAATCCTACAGTTTTAAACAGCCTTGTACAGTCAGAGGGAATCCAGAGACTTTAGACATTAAGAAATACAGAATTTTCAGAATGGGTTGTTCTAACAGAATGCTTCTCTGTTAACATTTTGTGGGTAGTTTTCAACTTTTTGGACTATTTGAAGTGCAACAACATTTGTTACTGAACTTTTTTGGGGAAGTTTATATGCAGCAACTTCAACCTTTTTGTAAGAAGAATTTTGTAGCAAAAAAAAGATTTGAAAAAAAAAAAAGTTCATCTTAAACTGCAAATTTTTGAAAAAGGTGCCGTAAAATCAGTGATGTTAGGCTGTAACAGTCTCAAAAAATCCCCAAAATCCTGGAGGGACTTACTCTGGAAATCTTGATGTGTGCCAGTAGGTTAGCAGGGATCCTGTCCAGTCTGGATTTTTATTTTAGCATTTCCAGATCTGCACAAGTGTGAAAAAGGAGTTTTGGGAAAAAATTTGTTTTTCTGACATTGTATGTTTAGGAGCTCTTAAATGGACCTCAGTCTTGCACATTAAATGTATGTCAAAAGAATGCTTGTCCTGTAGTAAGCTGTGTTAAGATGTTCTCCTCTGCTTCAGTGGTAGGGTTTCCTGGTGCTGGCTTCAACACCGTGCCACCGAACCGGAACCACGTTTTGGCACCGGTCATCGATCCTGCTGCAGCAGCAGCTGCAGATCTGCCTGATTTATGCTGTCCGAAGTGCAACTACCTGGCTCCAGATATGGACACACTGCAGATACATGTCATGGACTGTATACAGTAATGCAGTGGGCAAGCGTAGTTCAATGTACCACAATGCCAACACACGCACACGCACACGCACACACACACACACACACACACACACACACACACGTAGTATATTTACTGGTCATCCAGAAAGTATTCACATCCCTTCGTTTTTAAAACATGTTGCCTGTTGCAGACCAACTCTAAAACCCACCTGAGTAAGGTTTTGTTTTTTCTATAGCTAGACAATTTTTTTACATTTACAAATAATAGTTACATAATATTCACATTCCTTCCTATGGCAGTCAAAACTGAGAGTCTAATTAGTGGAGAGTTTTTTCCAACAAAATTGGAGTTCCCCTGTGCTAACTTCAGAAGACTGAACATGATTTGGAATGGAACACATTTGGCTGCAGAAACCAAGCAATAAACTCAGAGGAATTATCTGTAGACCTTTGGAACTGAATTGTGTAAAAGAAAAAAAAAAAAAAAAAAAAACATTTGAGAAAGGATCATCGCAGATCTTAAAGGACAGTTCCCTTTGTTATTTGGAAATGGACGACATTTTACCCCCAAAAAACCAAGTTTATAGAGACATGCTCAAGACAACTGGAGGCTGGAACTGCTGCCAAAAAAGGCTTCAACAAAATAAAATATCAAACAATGGCTGTGAAAACTTATGTTTCTGTTTATTTAGAAAACTTGACAAATATCTGTAAAATCTATTTTGTGTAGATTTTCTTATTTTTTTTAAAGAGACCTGTACTCAGGTTGGTTTCAGTAGACATTCTGCTAAGGTAAGAAATGTGGGGGGGGGGGGGGAGAAGGGAAATATTTTCAGGATCCATTGTACTTTCTGTGTCCAGCTTTGGGGGAAATGTATTTGGTTATTGCACCTTATTTACTTTCTGTCATACAAGGAGAAATGAAAAGACCTAAGCCCGTTCTGGATCCTGAAGTAAAAACCCTAATATATTAGAATAAGGAGAAAGTGTGTGGAGGCAAATAAAAGGTCATTTGCTAAATTAGAAGATTTTTATTGTATTTCCTCTCCTGCTTCCTGGATCGGTTTCTACTGGCACCTCTGTCTTTCCTCATGTTTTTTTTTTCTGCCAACACCTGTCCTTTTGTTTCCTTTTACCCCTCTGTCCATTCCCTGATACCACTTGCTGTTTTTTTTTCTTTTACATGATTCAACTTTCCCTTTTCCACCATTTTGTCTCTTGTGCAAATGAACAGTAAACATGTTATGAAGTACATGTGTATACTTTGACATCATCATCCAACATATCAGTATTCATTGGACCTAATACAAAAATGTGACAATTTTTTTTAAAAGAAAATGCATGTAGATTTATCTGATGAGCTTTAAAATGATAATGAATATTCAAATGTTTTGGTTGCAAAAGTAGCTTTTTGCATCAACTCAAAACATGTATTATTATGTAGTAGAGATGGATTAACTCTTGTTGGAAAGAAAAGTAACCATTCTCTATGTTCTGTGCCTGTGTTTTGACTGTGCCGCTGCTTTTATCTCTAAACCTGACCCTTAACCCGTCATAACTCCTGCTGTGCCCCTTATCCTGTCTTATCCTTTATCTTTTGACGCCTGCTATTTATCAGTATGAATGTAAGCACATTAAACTTTTTTTTTTCGTATTGTGAGGATATTCTTTGTAATTGTAATTTGTTGCAAGGATTCACGAAATAAATCATTTATTCAATTGTCTGTGTTTTAGTGACAGTTTAATGAGCCACTCGGGAGAAACCATTAAATTTTATTCTGAGGGGTCGTAGAAGTCTGGTGTTTTACGTTTCCATTCAAAAATACTTTAGAAGTACCAAAGGTAAATTAAATAATTGGGAATGTTTCCCACGTTACATAACCAGCATTAAAATGTTTCTTTAAAATGCAACGAATTGAAGAAAAGGATGTCTCCGGACCCGCCGGACTGATGGTATAGCTTAACCGTCCTCTTCTGCGACACACGCGCTTCGATTTTTTTCCGGCTCAACCTGGAGGCAGAAATCCCTGTTTAATTTCAAAATAAAAGACCCTCTGCCTTGTTTATTACCAACTCTACCTTTATTATAACATTTGGCTATGATATAAGATAACGCGCAAATGTAGTTTACCACACTTAAAAGTTTTAAATACAACTGTGCATTTTCTAACTTTTTATTTTAAAGTCTATGGTCTATCAGGAAGTTAAACGGACTTTATTTTGGTAACGCGGGTCTCCTAGTCACACAACGGGTACTAGACACTCACCCCATGTTGCGTCTTTGCACATCGGGCCGAGCTGTCCGCCTTGCTTCGTGCTTTAAGACCACTCTGCGGGCAGGCATGTCGGGCTCACCTACCCCACCTCCCTCAGCTGAGACTGAGGGTTCCGGGGGGTGTTTCCCTCCTGGATACAAGCCATTTAAACCCGAGGACCACGGCTTGGAACGCGGGTTCCGTCTTACATCTTACTCTGAGTTGAAGGGATGAGGATGCAAGGTCCCGCAGGAGGTTCTGCTCAAACTCCTCGCGGGACTGGAGGCGGACCGAGGCGATGGGCCGGGCAAGGCTGGAGACCAGGGTTCTGAGTTCGGCCAACAGTTACCTGGACCCAGGCTTGGTAAGAAACTCCAGCACCAGCCCCTGTGCTCCGAGCTGCCGAACCCGGTAGCTAACCTCAATTAGCTAACGAACAGTTGCTAATACTATTAGCTTTGAGGACTCGTATGACAGATGATGTGGACCATTCACAGTAGAGAAAGTTTTACAAATCATATAACCTTATTGTAATGCAAATATAAAATGAGCGCGTGTAAACCAGAACATTAGTTCCCTGAGATGTTAAATTACTACACAAGGTAAATGATTCAGCAGAAATATCTGTAATGCTTCAAGTACGAAGTTCACCAATACTCATTCCAAGGAGTTACAATATATGCACTATTACTCCTGAAATATGACCAATGAATGTTGCTGCTGTATAAATCCACTTCAGCTAAGTCGAGCTGCTAATGGAGAAAACTTGCATGTCTCTGTATTTATTCCAGGTATTGGGATGGACAGTTGTGTGACTCCATTGAGGCATGGAGGTCTCTCTCTGGTCCAGACCACTGATTTCTTCTACCCTCTGGTAGAAGATCCATATATGATGGTAAGTTTTTGTTGTGGATTTTTTTTTTTCTGCACGGCAGAAGTTATTAAAAACTCTTACAAATTTAGTATGAAAACATATCTAAAACTAGATTTGGACAATTATTAGTTCATCAGTCAAATATGGCTTCAGACAGACAGCAGATTATTGAACACACCGACTTGACATGGGTGAGTATCCACATAAAAGCAACAAGTTAGAAAGTTTAGTATCTTAGCTCACTGCCAAAGAGGGCAGAGAACAGTGGCTATTTTTGGATTAAACTGGGGAGGGTTGGAAAGATAAAAGACAAATAATTTAATTAATATTCAACTCGCTGAACAGAGAACTAACATTGTTAACATCAAGCAAATGAATATATTTAACTTTTTCTTCACAGTGACAAAAACCACTGAATGTGGACTTTAATAACTACATTAAAGCAATGAATTTAAAAGGCTGCAACTAAATTCTGAAAGATTCACACGACTTCCTCCATGTCCGCACAGATATGACCTGCTTGTTCCTTGTCAGATTTCCCAAGGTTTTGACGTTCTGTCCAAATTTTCTTTCTGTTTAAATAATCCAATTTTTATAGTAATAAGAACATAAACTGTAATATTTGATACTATTTGTCGATTCAACAAGTGACGTGTTTTTAGCACAATATGTGAGTAGCCATGTCTGAAAGTGAAAAGTTTGAGTTGCTTAAGAATCAGACAAAAAGCATTCTTCTGAAAATGAGAGACGATAATGAGATTGAAAAAAATATGACACCAAATTATTTAAATAGTATAAAAGCACTCAGAATCTGAATATGAAATGAGCTTCCATTGTTTGCTGTGGGTTAAATCTGCAGTAGTAGCTGTACAACGGGTCACCGTGAAAGGTTTCTAGACTTTTATAGAAACTGACAGGATGACCAGTAAAACCCTCCAAGAGTCGTTTCTGCTCGTAGTGACTTCAACTTATAAATGATTGATGCGACTAAGTGTTAATGACTAACCGCGTCAGCTTAGCTATCACCAAGGGTTTTAATGGTGATTGTGTGCACTTTGAAGTTTAACTACGCCCATCGTTGCATTAAAGAAAACATGCTAGCAAACTGAATGTTATCATGTTTGAGAGGGGAACGTGAGCGGAACGAAAGAAAATTCACGTCGTGGTTCAAATGTCCAGAATTATTAGAGAGCGGAAGCTTTGGGTGCAAGCTTAGCCAGTTTTCTTTTTTATTTGGCTCCAAAGCTCTGTGTTTCTAATTTCTCTATAGATAGGTGGCTGAAACACACACACTGTGGCAGCGACTCGGTCATGAGTTCTGTCATATGTTACCACATCCCCCCTCAGAGCCTCATGAAGCAGCAGGGTGGTGAAAATTCTTGCCTAATGAAAACATCTAAGAGGTTTTTAAGCAGTTTGCATTAACTGACACTAAATGAAGCATTCAGCCATTGTTTTGCAGGGTTAAGATTTACTAAAAGACATCAGACTTTAAACTAAATCTACATTCACCGTTTACAGCTCAGCTTCTGTACCAACCAGCCCTTTTAAATGGATTTCCCCTCTTTTTTTTTTTTTTTTTTGTAATGCATTCACTTTCCATTTCTGATTTCTTTTTAAGAATGATGATCTATAAGAGGAGCATTTAAAATTTTTAGTCGTCCTGCCATGAGTGATCAGCATGCCTAGTTAAACCTAGAAATAAAGGAACTTTTCAAAAATGTTCTAATTTGTTGAATATAAATGAATCAAAGCTTGATATTTTTAGAGCTTTGACCTTTTAAAGACCATATGCCTAAACAACTCCAGTTTTTCTTGAAAAAATGTTCCCAAAATTAAATTCACTAACTTTTTAGCGCAGGTACCTTTACGCAAAATATTGTCTGTTGCACATTTATTCCAGGAGGAATTGTTGCAGAAGACAGTAGAAAGTTGTGATGTTTTGCCACAAGACTATGATGGCTTTTTAGGGCCATTGTAAATAAAATAACTAAGAAGTTTTGTGAGTAGTCTCAGGAACACTCTAGAAAAAAACAAGGACATTTTTGAGTTTGGAAAGTTGAAAACCTCCGAGAAAAAAAAAACTAAGGCATTTAGAGATCTTCTTGGGGGGTGGGGGAGTAGTAACATGATGGACGTTTTTTCCAAGACACCTCCATTTTTTGGGGGGGAATATATTTATTAACTAAATTCAGGTTCTGATCTTCCAAAACTAGCTTGATCCTTCAGTTTTTGTGTGACGGTCCCGATGTCGCTCATTTGTTGTCCTCGCCGTGTCCCAGGGAAGGATAGCGTGTGCGAATGTCCTCAGTGACCTCTACGCCATGGGCATCACGGAGTGCGACAACATGCTGATGCTGCTGAGCC